AGAAAGAGATCAGGTTTCCTTTGGCTGACTGTTGGAAGTTCAAACAAACCACGGCCCATTGACGGCATTGCTTTGGGCCTGTGGCAGGGTACCAGATCAAGGTAGGAGCTTGCGGAAGAGCAAAGCGGTTCATCTGATGGTCGGGAAGTGAGACCAGAAGCAATGGGGTTCTATCACCCCATTCAAGGTCACACTCCCAGTGACCAGAAGGCCTCCTACACTAGACTCTACCTCTGTTAAATTCTCACCCCACTCCCCAGAAGCCCTGAGCAGGGGACCATGTTTTTAATGCATGAGGTCTTTAGAGAACAAAACCAAACTATAACACCCCTGATTGCTTGCGGGGCCAGACAAATCAAGTGAAGCTGAGACCCCAGAAACTCAGAAAAGATGAAAAAAGAAGGCAGGGGAGGGGGGTAGTGGTGGAGGTGGAGGTGGTGGAGTACAAGCTAGGCACTGGGGGCTCACACTTGTAATTCCAGCTACTCAGAAGGCTGAGATCTGAGGATCAAAGTTCAAAGCCAGCTCATGCAGGAAAGGCTGTGAGATTTTCATCTCCAAGTAACCACCCACAAAACTGGACATGGACGTGTAGCTCAACTGGGAGAGCACCAGGCTTGGGTGGACAAGCTAAGGGATAGTACCCTGGCCCTCCCTGAGTTTAAGCCCCAGTACTTGTATGTGTGTGCATGCATGCACACGTGTGCACACACACCTGTGCACAGGTTGTGTACAGAATAACAACTTTTGCCAGGATCTGGAGGCAAAGAAGGTATCCTCAGCTACAGAGTGACCTTGCAGGGTATGACATAAAGGGACTGGGTGAGGGGCCACGCTGCAAAGGAAGGTGCCAGCAGCAGCCTCCTTTGCAAGGCAGGCTGGGAGATCCAGCATCTAGAAGCTTGTGAATTAAAGGCAGTTTACTTACCTCCTTGGGAAATGGCGACTCATTAAGAGCAAGCGACTTCTGGGTATGACACATTAGCGCTGAGAAGCTGAGCGGCTCTGCCCAGCCCTGAGTAGCCTGCCCGGGGCTGGCATGAGCTCTTGTGCTGCAGGATGATGGATGGCAACAGAGCTGGCATGCCGCTGGGAGCCTGTGGAAATGCATCACGAGATTGACTCCCCGGTGAGAGGCCTCAGATATAGTTCCCTGGTATTTAAGAGTCTCTGGGGATGAATATCAGGAAGAACTTCCTGTGGATACTTGCAGGGTTGGAGGGGGGGGCATGAAATGGGCAGTTTAAAGGCTGGAGTTTGATTGGGTTGCCATGTTTCTACTTAAAGGAGACAGAGCATGCTAGGTGCTGGTGGCTCTCACCTGTCATCCTAACTCCTCAGGAAGCCAAGAGCTGAGGGTCAAGGTTTGAAGCCAGCCCAGGCAGGAATGTCCCTGAGACTCTTATCTCCAATTAACCAGCAAAATGCTGAAAGTAGAGGCGGACTCTCCCTTATGTGGAATGCTTGGGACCTGCAGTATTCCAGATTTTGAAGGTTTGCAGAATGGAGACTATTTTGCATAACCTTCACGTGAAGACTCAGAATACAGGATGCACCAAAGGGTTTATGATTTGGGGTAGGGGATAGTCCGTGCAAATTTTAGATCCTTCTCTGTTTTTAGCTTAGGGATGCTCAGCCTGGACTCAGTTTCCTCTGTTACGATGGCGACATTACAGCGGTGGTGATACTGTGCAAGTACAAGGTGATGCTGACAGCAGCAGGGTAGATTATAATGGTTCTGGAGTAGGGCCAGTCTCATTTGACTTTATCTGTTGGTTTTTGCAGGGATGGGAATAGAACCCAGGACTTCACGCTGACCCACTGAGCAGCAGGCTGGTACCCAGATCCTATTTTAAACCTCACTCCTATCCCTCCTTATGTCTGTCATCTGTGAGATGGGCCCACAGTCCTCTCACCATCTAGGCCTGTCTTAGGGGTCAGATGAGGCCATGCACAGATCCTGGCTTAGGACAAATGCTCTGTAAATATTAACTATTCTTGTTACTAAGGTAAATTCGGCCTTTTTAAACTTCAAACTGGAGGTGGGGGGGGTGGGGGGGGCGGGGAAGAAAGCACAGGATCTTCCCTACCCAGGACAAGGGTTAGCAAACTTTTCCGTAAGAGCCCCTGTAGTCAATATTTGAGGCTTTGTGAGCCACTAGTTCTGCGGTGTAGTTGTGCCAAAGCAACCATGAGAATTCAAACAGGCAAGCATGACCTGTGTGCTAACACAGTTTAACCACACAGAGTTGGATGCCAGTGGCTCCCACCTGTAACCCCAGCGATTGGATGAGGTGCGAGAGATTGCAGTTTGAAGCCAATTGGGAGCAGAAAAGTCGGGAAGACTCCATCTCCCAGATAACCAGCAAAAAAGCCAGGCTGGAGGCATGGCTCAAGTGGTAGAGCACCAGATGAACAAGCAAATTCAAAGCCCTGAGTTCAAGCCACACTGCCCTCCCCCCAAACAAACAAACAGACCTCTTACAACATAGGACTTGAGGCTGGATTTGACCCGTGGGCCGAGGGAGTTGTAAAGGATCTGATCGAACGTCAAGAGACTTCCTTTCTTTTGCTATGGGCAGGAAAGCATCCCTGAGCGAAATGTTGCCACCTCTGTCCCAGTTTAAAGCGGAGCTGAATGTGACACCTGGAGCCAGGCAGCCGCCCCCGCCCTCCCCCAGGAGGGAGGGAAATGGCATCTCGTGGGGTATGATGAATGCTGACTACCCCAGCCCCGCCTCAGGGTGTGTGTTGCCATTTTGAGCATCTTCTCCCTGCCCCCCCCCCCAGACAGCAGGTTGCCCATCTGAACTGCGACGTGATGTGAGAATTAGATCCACAGCCAGGAGTGCATTTAGCCATCCCCAGGACACAGGCGATGTGGCCCACGGCCTTCAGAGAGAGAGAGAGAACAATAATAGCACAATCTGGGGCTGGGAAGGTGGCTCAGTGGTAGAGCGCTTTTGCCTTGTAATGCATGAGGCCCTGGGCTCGATTCCTCAGCACCACATAAGCAGAAAAGGCCGGAAGTGGTGCTGTGAGCTGAGGCGCTGAGGGACAGCGCCCAGGCCCAGAGTTCAAGCCCCACGATCAACAAAAATAAAATAAAAATACTAGCACCATCTGGGCATCCATTAAAAATGGACAGGCATGAGCCACCGGTGCCTGACTTCCTCATTTTACTTTTGTTTTGAAGCTGCGGCCCGTTTGGGCTGTCCCCAAAGGGACGCCGTGCAGGCCTTCCGCCTTGATGCTTTTGATTGGTGGGTGGGAGGCAGGTGGCAGATGGGACAATCCCTTGAGAGGCTAAGTGACTCAAGGGTAAGCAGCTTACAAAAGAAAACCAAGCCAGGAGCTGGTGGCTCACGCCTGTCATCCTAGCTACTCAGGAGGCTGAGATCTGAGGATTGCGGTTCAAAGCCAGCCCGGGCAGGAAAGACCGTGAGACTCCTATCTCCAATAAACCACCAGAAAACCGGAAGTGGCGCTGTAGCTCAAGTGGTAGAGCACTGGAGCTTTTTTTTTGCTCAAGGACAATGCCTAGGTCCTGAGTTCAAGCCCCAGGACCAGTACATGCACACACACACACACACACACACACACACACACACAGACACACACACCACCATTACAGACTTGGCAATTCACTGTGGAAATGCAGCCTGCACAGATCTCATAGACAGGTGCAAAGGGTCTGTATTGGGGACTCTCCCTTAGGGCTGCAGATAGAGGTGGGCAGCAGGAAATCAGTAAATGTGGTCACCACTGGGGAAACGATTTGTAACAGGCTACAAAGAGAAAAGCAGCCAGGCTTTGTCCCCGCTGCTGAGGAAGAGATTTGCAGTGTGCTTTGTGGTGAGGACTGCAGGTCTTCAACATTAGATCATGTTATTCCCTAACAACGGATGTGCAGACACACATGTGCACAAATGCGTCAGCAGCCGTGCATGGGTTCGTAGCTTGAACTACTAGTATTTGGGTACATATTTTGTTTTTAAAAACTCTGTATGTATGAGTGTGTGCGTGTGTGTGTGTGCATGTGTGTGTGAGAGAGAGAGAGAAAGAGAGAGAGAGAGTACTGTATATATAAAACTTTTCACTTGGATTGTAGATCCCTTATTCAGAGTGTTTCAGATCAGAAGCATTCGAGACCTCAGATCTTTCCCCACCCCCCAATTTCAGGATATTTGCATATGCATAATGAACTCCTTGGGAATGGCCCCTCCGTGCACAGTCTGAAAGTGGCTTATTTATCTGTTGGTGGTGGTGGTTTTTTAACAGCATTAGTCCTTTTAATGACTGTCCTTATTTTTAATTTTTATATTATATTATTACTGTTACTTTATTATTTATCTTTTGCAATGCTGGGGGTTGCTAGGTAAGCCCTAAATCACTCTTCTACCATACCCTAGTCCTTTTGCTTATTATTATTTTTATGTGCAAGTCCTGGGGCTTGAACTCAGAGCCTGGGTGCTGTCCCTGAGCTCTTTCTGCTCAAGGCTAGCACTCTACTGCTTTGGGCCATAGCTCCACTTCTGGTTTTTGGTTGGCTCACTGGAGAAAAGAGTCTTACGGGCTTGCCTGCCCTGGCTGGCTTCAAACCTCAATCCTCAGATCTTAGCCTCCTGAGTAGCTAGGATGAGCCACCAGTGCCAGGCTGCAACCTGAGTTTTGATGGACCAAACCCCATTCAAACCATAGCACCATGGCAAATGTGTTTCCTAGCTCTCAAGGGCTGCTTCACAAGCAAAGAGATCTAGGTATGCGTGGCCCTGCCACGTCTAATGGTCATCCAGGCTGTCACCGAACAAGAAGAACACAGCCTGCCTCTCCTGCAGGAATTCTCTCTTTGAGATAGGGTCTCACTCTGCAGCCTCTGCCTCCTGGGAACCGGGATTCCGGGATTCCAGACGTGCACCACCACACCCTAGAGGAACTGGTGAAACCGAACCCCCTCGTGGTCTCAGGTCCTAACTCCTACGTGTCTTGCCTCGATACAGGTCAGCTGGACGTCATCTCTATGGCAGAGACCAGCATGATGCCGGAGGAGATCGAGCTGGAGATGGCGAAGATCCAGCGTCTCCGGGAGGTTTTAGTCCGCCGGGAGTCAGAGCTCAGGTTCATGTGAGTGTTAGGAGCAGTGTTTGGACACGAGGAGGCGTGGGGGGGGAGGTGAGGGGGGGTGTGTGGGAGAACAGGGAGGTGCTCTGGAGACGTAGACACTTAGCAATTACTGTGTGTGTGTGTGTGTGTGTGTGTGTGTGACTTGAACTCAGGCCCTGGTGCTGATCTTTAGCTTTTCTTTTGCTCAAGTGGTGCTCTACCACTTGAGCCACAGCTCTACTTCTGGTGTGTGTGTGTGTGTGTGTGTGTGTGTGTGCTGGTTCATTGGAGATAAGAGTTGCACACATTTTACTACCCAGCCTGGCTTTGAACAGCGATCCTCAGATCCCAGCCTTCTGAGTAGCTGGGATTACAGGCGTGAGCCACCATGCTTGGAGCACAGCGTGGCTGTTCCTAGCTCATTCCCGGGGCTGGGCGATGCCATGGACTTTACTGGAACAAATCAGAGCCTCTGCTTTAGCCTCCTTCCTGAGGCCGCCTTTTCCTCCTGGCCTCTCCATCCCTCCCGCCATGCCTGGCCTCCCGCCTCTCCCATCCTGTCCCATCGCATCCAGGCACCCTCCGGAGGCCGCCCGCCGCCTCCAACTCATTTCCTCACCCTTCATCCCAGCCCTGAGTCACATCATTAGCTTTTAATAGCTCCCGCAGGCTCTGGCTGCCCAGCCCGGCTTCTCTGCGGCTCTGAGATCAGCGGCTCCTGCTGTTGATCTGGGTGCCAGATAATGAAGCATCTTCTGCCTCCGAGCGGGAGGGAGCGCTCATCTCCATCCTCTGCCCACTCCTGGGATCCTCAGGAAAGGGCCGCGCATGCTCCTCTCCCATTTCACTCGGGACGGTCGTGGCTTTTAATCAGCCAGTCAGATTCAGAGCCGCCAGGCGTCCGGGGAGGGCAGATTTCAAGAGCGCAGCCCTGGACCGAACTCTAGGAATATGAGTTTTAGTATGAATCACGTGGTGTGAGGCAAAGGTCAGGCCCCAGGAGCCTGGTGGAGAGGGGCCAGCGGGGAGCCAAAGCCCTAGAGGGAGATAATTATCACACAGAACCATTTTGTCTGTCAATGAGGAAGCTGAGGCACGGAGCCGTCCTATCGCTCAACCAGGAATGTAAAATCACAGATTATTGCACAACCTAGGCTTTTATCCAGTCCATCTAGGTCTTGGCTTCCATTGCAACTGGTTTTGGATCTAATTGTTGTTGCTCTCCTCCTCCTCCTCATTCATCCTCCTCTTCTTCTATTTATTATTCTTCTCCCCTTCTCCTCCTCCTCTTCTTCCATTTATTATTCTCTTCCATTTTCCTCTTCCTCTTCCTCCCCTTCTCTCCTCCTCCTCTTCCTCCTTCTCTTCTAGTTCTTCTTTTCCCTCCCCTCCTCCTCCTCTTCTTCTTTGGTAGCAATGGGGATTGAACTCAGTGACTCATAGTTGCTACACACTACCACTTGAGCCATGTCTCAGTAATTTTACTTTTACTTTGTCTTCAAATAGGGTCTCATGCTTTTGCCTGGGCTGACCTTTAACTTTGATCCTCCTATTTCAGCCTCCTAAGTAGTGGGGCTTGTACACAAGCACTCAGTACACGAGACAGGGTCTTGATAGCTTTTGCTCAGGTTGAACTGCGATCCTCCTATCTTGTAGCTGAGATTACAGGTATGTGTCACCATGCCCAGCCTTTTGACTTCTTATCAACTGTATGTCCCAGAGAAAAAAGATTTTGCTCAGTGAAAGTCTCAGTCTTCCCATCTTTACAATAAGGATGATGAAGTCTCCCTGAGAAGGCTGTAGAAGGGAAGACAAGTGAATGAAAAATGGGTGGGCTTTCTGGGGGGCAGGGGCGGCTGGAACCTAGGGCCTCACGCATGCCAGGCGAGCACTCTACCACCGAGCTCTGCCCAGCCCTCCTCCTTTATGTATATAGACAGCCCTCAGGGGGCTGGGAAGGTGGCTCAGTGGTAGAGTGCTTGCCTTGCATGCATGAGGCCCTGGGTTCGATTCCCCAGCACCACATAAACAAAACAAAACAAAAAAAAAGAAATTCATCCTAGACAGCCCTCACCCCAGAGTCACTGGGAATCAGAGCAGCCGAGTGATGAATTCACTCTCCGACGGCTCTACCTCTCAATCATCAGATCCAGGTTTGCCAGGGGGCCCAAACTTCATTAGGGATGATCTTCTCCAGACACCTGCAGTTTTCTTTTCCCTTTCCTGAGCCGGTGATTTTGAAGTCTGTTAAGAAGAGCTTTAAGTCCTAGTAAAATAAACCACCTGTGTTTATGCAACCCGACAGGTCTCAACCACGCCGGGGGAGTGTGCGTTAACCTGTTGCACTCCGGCCAAAAATAGCATCTGCTAAGAACAGGTCACCTGCCACAGCCCCGGTGCATATCAACACATCAGGCAAGTGACACTACCTGCAGAAGAGCTAAAAAAAAAAAACAACACAATTTGCCTTGAACAAAATAGACAAGGATTTGAGGAGCAGCAGGAGAAGGAACAGCAAAGGATCGGAGAGGCTACAGACAGGAGAGAGGGGAGACAATTCCAGATTAGGGCTCTGAATGCAAGGAGCCTCCTGCTTGGTTTGTCTTCCGTGCTCAGAACAAGGTTTAAGAGCTGTGTGCAGGGTGTCTTGTGCCTGTAATCACAGCTACTTGGGAGGCAGAGATTGTATTTCCAGGCCAGCTCAGGCATAAAGTTCATGAAGCCTCATCTTAACCAATAAACAGCTAAATGTGGGGCTGGGAAGGTGGCATGCATGCATGAAGCCCTGGGTTTGATTCCTCAGCACCACATAAGTAAAAAGAAAGCCGGAAGTGGAGCTGTGGCTCAAGTGGTAGAGCGCTAGCCTTGAGCTGAAGAGCTGAGGGACAGCGCCCAGGCCCAGAGTTCAGGACCCACGACCAGACCCCCCCCCCAAAAAAAGAAAGCTAAATGTGGTGCTTCACACCTTTCAGCTCCACAGAAAGTATAAATAGGAGGATGTCAGTCCAGGCTGGCCCAAGAATAAACATGAGCTCCTATTTTTGTTTAATTGTTGTTGTTGTCAGTCGTGAGGCTTAAACTCAGGGCCTGGGTGCTGTCTCTGAACTTCTTTTGCTCAAGGCAAGCAAGCATTCTATCACTTGGGCCACAGCTCCGTTTCTGGCTTTGTTGGTAGTTTCTTAGAGATAAAAATCTCATGAATTTCTCAGCCCGAGCTGGCTTCGAACCACCATCCACAGACCTCAGCCTTCTCAGTAGCTAGGATTACAGGCATGAGCCCCCAGAGCCTCCCAAAGAGGGTCACAACTTCAACATGTGAGCAATGGGGACAACGGTTCAAGCCCACCCAAATCCCAGGGCATCGACCTCTAGTAAAGAAGAGCAAGCCTATTTTAGAACCTGCACCTTTACTTCTGGAAAGACCTCTAGGACTGCTCTCAGCCAGCGGTCTCATGTGGCTACTGCCATTGCAATGAATGAAAATAAAACTTCCAAATGCGATCTCTCAGTAGCGCCAGCCATATTTCACGTAGTCATTCATCTAGAATAGCTACTGGCTATGTACTGGCAAGCACACATTTGTGTCAGCTGTATCTGTGGGAGCAAGCTGTATAGGGCTGGGCATGGTGGCCCATGCCTATAATCCCAGCATGCAGGAGGCAGAGACAGTAGGCAAAATACCTGCTGTATAGACTGAGGATTAAACAAGAAGGTGTGGGGACCAGTTTCAGCATGGCAAGAAGTTGCCCACTGAGTATTCGCTCTTGCTGGTATCAACAGAAGCCACAGGCCAGCCTGGGCACTGTTGATTAGCTGTTGCTGGTATCAGCAGAAGCGAAGGGCCCAGCCTGGGCACTAGGCAGGTGACAGTCAATTGAACACATAGAAGCAGCTCAGAATAGCAGCGGTGTGGATGGGAGAATGCTAAACAGGATGTCTAATTGGATTTCTCCGTGGGTGACTCACTGCTTTGATGATGCTATTGTCCCCTTGGAGTGTCTCTCATGAGATCTGAAAATTTTCCACCTGCACTTGGGGTCTCTAGGCCTTGTTTCCAGGAAACCCGGGACTCTGCATCCCACGCCCGCCTGCCTGTCTGCCCCCACCGGCACAGACTGACTACCCGGGGCGGTCATCACCACAGACAAGCCACGGTCCCTTAACCGGGGTGGAGGTGGGGGCTCAGTCTGCTTAGGGAGAGAGCCAAATGGTGAGGTAGTCGTTAGAGGGGTACTCAGGTAGCCTGGGAGCACCAGGAAGCTTCCAGAAGGAGGTCCTGGGCTGGGTTCAAGGAAGTAGCAGGAGACAAGAGTGCTCCGATTTGGGGGGAGGAGTTGGGCAATGACTTGGAGAACGGTGTCGCTGAACTCCAGGCTCGATAACTAGAGATGAGGCTCAGATGACATGGCGCAGAGGGGCAGCGGCTGGGGCCTTGGCTCCCCAAGACTGGCCATGCTGGACCTCAGAGAAAGGAGAGTAGGTCATTAAAAATCATCCAGAGAGGCCCAGTATGATGGCACCTGCTTATCATCCCAGCACTTAGGAGATGGAGACAAGAGGATCATGAGTTCAAGGCCAGACTTGGCTACACAGTGAAACTCGGTCTCAAAACGTAAGATAAAATAAAGGGCTGGAATGCAGCTCAGTGACAAAGCGCTTGTCTACTAAGTACAACATTCTAGGTTCGAACCCCAGTACCAGAAAAGACTAAATAAATAAATAAAAACCCAGAGGGGCTGGGAAGGTGGCTCAGTGGTAGAGCGCTTGCCTTGCATGCCTGAGGCCCTGGGTTCAATTCCTCAGCACCACATAAGCAAAAAGAAAAAAGCCAGAAGTGGCGCTGTGGCTCAAGTGGTAGAGTGCTAGCCTTGAGCTGAAGAGCTGAGGGACAGCGCCCAGGCCCAGAGTTCAGGCCCCACGACCGGACCCAAAAAAAACAAAAAACAACAACAAAAAAAAACCCCAGATAAAAACTAGAGCTGTAACTTAATGGGACCGTGTGTGCTTAGCATCTAAGAGGCTCTGGGCTTTTTTTGGGGGGTGGGGGGGAGAGGTCAGTGTGGGTCTTGAACTCAGGGCCTGGGTGCTGTCCCTAAGCCTCTTTGTACTCAAAGTTAGAAATCTAGCACTTGAGCTACTTCCAGATTTTGAGTGGTTCATTGGAGATCAGAGTCTCACAGGGACTTTTCTGACTGGGCTGGCTTTGAACTGCAATCCTCAGATCTCAGCCTCCCGAGTAGCTAAGATGACAGGTGTGAGCCACCAGCGCCCGGCTAAATAACGTTTTTTTTATTTTAAAAAAAGAAAAGTAAAACTAAAATCATGATACAGGCTTAGTATAAAAATGGAAATGAAACACGCATGAAAACAAATAAAGGAATTAAACATTCCTTCAACATAACCATCGCAATATTTGGAATAGATTCTTCTATTCTCATTGTATATGCAGTTTGCAAAAGTGGATCATTATTTTCCTAACTGGGCTCACTTGCTTGCTTCTTTTCTGTCTCTCTCTTTTTCTTTCCTTCCTTCCTTCCTCCCTCCCTTCCTTCCTTCCTTCCTCCCTTCCTTTTTCCTTTCTTCTTTCTTTTTTGGTGCTGTCCTGGGGCTTGAACTGAAGGCCTGGGTGCTGTCCCTGAGCTTTTTTTTGCTCAAGTCTGGAGCTCCACCCCTTAAGCCACAGCTCCACTTTTGGCTTTTTTGGTGGTTAACTGGAAACAAGAATCTCATGGAATTTCCTGTCTGATAGAGCACTATCCTTGAGTAGAACATCTCAGGGACTGTGCCCAGGCCCTGAGTTCAAGACCCACATCCGTGATTGACACTGATAGAGGTGAACACAGAGATAATAAATGAGAGTCAGAGAGGGTCCAGCCTCCTGGCTTGCTCACTTCCGGCCTCCGGGTCTCCAGCTTGATGCTGAGAAATGACTGCGTCCAGGGGCTCCTGGAGGCGTCTCAGCTTCCAGCGCCTGCCTGTGAGCTCATCTGACTTGAGCTGGGGACCTACATACCCCAAACCAGTGTTCCATCCCCAAGCTTAGACATCCTTCTTCCTCTTCTCCACATCCCAGACTTATATCCTTGCTTTTCCTGTCTCATCCTCCCATAATTATCAAGAAAGGCTTTGAGTTGGAATCCAACATTTCTGAACTTGAGCAGGGCTTATTTTTGGCCAGGGTCACTGTCTGAGCCCTACAGGATTTATCAGCCTGCCTGGAATCTACCCACTCGACACCCCCACACACACACAATCCACGCTGATGCAACAACCAAATATAACTCCTATTGTCCTCGGAGACCAAGGGACCACGAATGGAGCTCAATCTCCGAGTTACTTGTGGAGGATTCTGGAAGGTCTCCAGTTGAACAATTGCTAAAAAAAAAAAACCCCACAGGAACAGTCTGAGCCCCTCTGGGCAAGCCTGGCTCGTTCGTAGCAGCTGCCACTTGCTAGGATGTTCCAGGGTAGAGCTTGATTAATGACTGGCGTGTCTCTGGCAGCGAGAGATTATAGGTTGAAGCCAGAAGTTCCTGCCTCTAGCTGGAAAGCTGGGAGGAGGGTGGAGCTGCCATGGGCAGAGGCCCCACCCACAAAGAAGCCAGCCAACCAGGCTGCGGATGGAGATGCTGAAGAGTGTGTACGTGTGGGGGGGGTGGGGTAGGGGGAGAGGGGAAGAGACTACACCGGTGCACTTCTCATGGCAGGGCTGAATCTCATCATGCGCCTGCTCTCGCGAGCAGTGTGGACCAGCGCAGCCCTGTTATCTGTCACCACCCTGGGAAAATGAGAATTTTAATGCTCCCCTTTGGCTTCCCCAGATCATTTTCAGAAGCAGAATAGGATGGATCACCAAAAGGACACACGCCATCTCCTCCTCAGAGGCCCTGAAGCACAGCCTGCCTTCCATGTCCCAGGATTTAAAAACCACACCCACACCCACAGAATTTAAAAACCAACCAAGGACCACAGATTCAGGGGTGGGGGTGAGGGAGGGGAGGCAAGGAGGGAGGGAGAGGACAAGAAAAAGCAAACTTTGTGTAAGCTGGGTACCATGGCTCCCATCTGTCATTCTAGCTACTCAGGAGGCTGAGATCTGAGGATCAGTGATGTCAAGCCAGCCTGGGGCAGAAAAGACCATGTATACTAGTCAACCACACCAACAAGTTGGAAGTGGAGAGCTGTGGTTCAAGTGGTAGAACACCAATTTTGAGCAAAAAGAAAAAAAAAAGGCTCAGGGACAGTGGCCAGGGCCTGAGTTCAAGCTTCAGGACCAGCACACACACACACACACACACAGCAATTGTGTCTACACTGCACACGTCCAGATTTTCGCATGATGGGCTATAACATCTGTTTACACAGCGTTCGTATGGTGTCGGTGATTTTTCTGAAACCTCTGCAAGAGGTGTGGGCTCTCTGTGTGTCCAGTCGATGTGGAGGTCATCTTCAGGACATCCTGCATCCAATCCTCTGCAGGGATGGTTTGGTGACACTATGGTGTCATGGTCCCCTTCTGTCCTGGCTGCCACAGTGGGTGCTTTCGTGAGGCTGGCAGGTGCAACTTCCAGTGGAAACATTCACACAGACTGATCCGGCAGGGTCCTCCGGCAGTCACCCAGGCGAAACTCAGCCCAGCCAGCGGCCCCACACAGCAGGCACTGGCCTTTATTAACGAGGGCGGGCCTGCTCCCACTGAGCCTCTGTTCTTAAAGCAGGGAGGGGCTGGGTGTGCGTGCTGTGTCTTTTAACCTGCGGTTGTGTGGTGTCCTGTATCCCCCCAGGATGGATGACATCCAGTTGTGCAAAGACATCATGGACTTGAAACAGGAGCTGCAGAACTTGGTCGCTATCCCAGGTAATGACTTTACCCAATGTTAACACCTGCTCCAGGCTCCTCACCTGCTCTGCTTATACTGCTCCCCTCCTCTCCCCAGCCCCCCAGCTCCCAGGTCTAGAAGACTTCCAACAATTTCTTTTTGTTTTGTTTTGAGATAGTCTTAACTTATATATCCCAGGCTGGACTGGACCTTGCAATCCTCCTGCCTCAGCCTCCCAAGTACTAGGATTATAGGCATGTGTTACCATACCTGATACTCAACTCTCTTTCTCACTTTCTCTCTTGCCCACATTGTTTCCATTTCTCTCTCTTTCTCATTGTTTTCTTTTTTCTTTTCCCTCCCTTCCTCCCTCCTTCCTCCCCTCCTTTTCCTTCTTTCTTTTTTGTTGGTTGTGGGGCTTGAACTCACGGCTTGGGTGATCTCCTGAGGTTTCTTTTCACTCAAGCATTCTACCACTTGGAGCCACAGCTCCACTTCAGGTTTTCTGGTGGCTAATTGGAGATAAAGAGTCTCAAGGAGGAATCTTCCCTGGCTGGCTTTGAACCACGATCCTCAGATCTCAGTCTCCTAAGTACCCAGGATGACAGGCGTGAGCCATTGCCACCCGGCTTCAATTATTTTAACTGTCTTTAACCATGTTTTTCTTCACCCCAGAAAAAGAAAAGACCAAGCTACAGAAGCAGAGAGAGGATGAGCTTATTCAGAAGATCCATAAACTGGTCCAGAAGAGAGATTTCTTGGTGGATGACGCAGAGGTAGAACGGTTAAGGTGAGTGGGCCGCATGGTCCTAGTCAGGCTGCCTAACTCCACCCTTCCGCCTGTCCTCCAATCCCATCATCCCCTGAGACTCAGCCCTGCTTGACAAGCCTAGCTTCTGTCATCACTCCCCGGACACAGAAACCAAACAGATCCTAGCCTTCTGACCGGCGGATCCGCTTCATATTCAGAAAGTCCTGCCAAGGCCTGGCTGTCTTGGCTGAGCACTACTTAAGGAGGTGCCTGGTGGGGAGTTACATCATAGAACCCGTGGCAGAGCACCCCGCATTTTCCCACTGTGCCACATCTCTCCTGTGGTCTCTAAAGACTCCACCCCTCTGTGCTGGCTGGCTGCCTTCTCCATTTCCCACCTTCTTCTTTCCATTCTTCACGTTTGTGGCTCTGATGTTCTTTCCCTATGTATTTGCACCCATCCCCCTTGACCTAGAGGGACCGCCCCAGGCCCTGGAGCCAGGGTGAAGCTATAGGCCTCAGAGAAGGCAGGGCCTGGGTTCAGCTCTGAACAGCCATTCCTGAATGATTTCATCTCCGCCAAAAGCTCTCTTCCTGGCAGAGTACAACTTCCTCTTGTTTTCCCCTGTGATCTTGGAAGTGTCTCTCCAAGGCCCCTGCAATGAGCTTTGCCTACATCAGCTGGGCTGCGCCCATCTAGTTAATTCCTGGCGGCCTTGAAGAGCTGAGGTGACTTCAGCTCTTGTTTTCTGAGACCTGCCACACACATCGGAGGAGCTCAGGTGACGTGTGGCTTGAAAGGTACACAGTTCACTGAATTTCCATCAGGGAAGCTGAGTTCTAGAAAGTCCCTGCTTCTGCCCTGGCCTGTCCCTGTAGGGCTGGGTTGGCTTACTTACCCGTTGTTGATAGATCTCTGCTTTAGAACAGGACTAAGCACTCCTCACAAAAGCCCCATCCTTGGGTTTTGTGGCCTGTGATAGCCTCACTTCACTGGTTTCTAGTTATTTTTTTCTTTGCTGACTGTACTTTTCTCTTCTCTTCTGCACCCCTGCCTTTCCAGGGAGCAAGAAGAAGACAAAGAAATGGCAGATTTCCTGAGAATCAAGTTAAAACCTCTAGACAAAGTAACCAAATCTCCAGCCAGTGAGTTCACCGTATTTCCTACTGTCCCATAAAAGGGAAAAGTAGATTTCAAGCAGGTGCCTGCTAGAGGCAGAGGGCCGGCACCAAACACTTCCTAGAGATCAGACCTGAGCAGGGCTGGCTGCATGGGAGCCAAGTTCACAGGCCTGTAGCCCGTGCCATTTCCCCAGCTCATCAGAGGACTCCATGCTTAGTTCATTGCTACCTTGAAAATTTTCATTTCTTTTCTTTTTTTCTTCTGATCCTTAGGGCTTGAACTTAGGTACTCTGACTCTGAGCTTTTGTGCACAAGGCAAGCACTCTACCACTTGAGCAGCTTTACTTCTGGCTTTTTTTTTTTGATCATTAATTGGAGACAGTCTCTTGGACTTTTCTGCCCGGGCTGGCTTTCAACCGTGATCCTCAGATCTCAGCCTGTTGAGTCACTAGGATTACAGGAATGAGCCCCTGGTGCCCACTGAAATTCTTTAATGCTTGAAATAGAGACTCTGATTTTTTATTCTGCTCTGAACCCCCCAATCTATGTAGCTGGTTCTGGCAATCACAGGGCTTGGTGTGTGATCGGTGGCCATTGAGATTTGGGGAGCTCTGGCCTCTTACAAGGGCTGGAATCTCCAAGAGCTGGAAGTACCTCTCTCAGGACATTAAGAGTTATGACACACCCAGAGCAGAAGCATTTCGTGTGAAATATGTTTGGGAAGTGGTACAAATGCAAACCCTTTCTCCAGGGGCCCCCAGCATCTATGAGAATGTTGACGTGGTAATGGAACTGCTTTTGCACCAGACGGTGAAGATGAGCCAGAACAACCCCCATGAAGATGAGATCGCACTAAAATTAAAAAAAAAAAAAACATGAAGAAATTGAGCCAATGAGGGGACTTGGCAAATATAACAAAGAGAATGACTGTTCAAGCACCCACCTTAGACGATCTTAAAGAGATCGTAAATATATTTGAAATATTAAAGACAGAAGAAATAAAAAACAAAATGAAATACGAGGATGTGGAAAAAGAATGAATAAAACTGCAAAAATTTAGCCTCGTGAAAACATGATTGCCAATGAATTAAAAACGCAATGGATTAAATACAGAGACACAGTAAATGTAAGGCTCTGAATCCTCACTCCACAACTGCTAAATCAGTCAGTCAATATTGAATATATGAATCAACAAAATAGGTACTGAAGTGTGGCTAAGGTGGTGGAATGTTTACTTAGGAAGCACAAGATCTTGAGTGAGAACTTCAACAGCACTAAGAAGAAAAGAAATATTATAAAAACAAATTAAAGCTGCGTGCTGGAGGCTTATACCTGTAAACCTAGTGATGCAGAGGGCTGAGATCTGAAGATCATAGTTCAAAGCCAGCTTGGCCAGCAAAGTCCATGAGACTCATCTCCAATTAACCAGCAAAATATTAGAACTGGAGGCATAGTTCAAGTGGTAGAGCACCAGCCATTCAGTGAAAAAGCCAATCAAGAGTTCAAGGCCTGGTACCAACACAAAATAAAAATTAAAAAAATAAATAAATACACAAACATGGAGATACAGTGATTTATAAATTAGAAACTGACATTCTCAATTGGCGATTTATAAATCATAATTTATAAACTGGAAGGCAGACTCGAGGAAATTCACCCACAAGGCAGCACCAACAGGAAGTGGAAAGGAGCAGAGGACAGAATGACAAAGGGCATTCCAGGAGAGAAAACAGAGGAGAGGCACAAATTTCTAGGAAGGTAACATGGAAGTATGTTCTAGAATTGAAAGGTACGATGGATTCCTTAAACTGAAGGAACTTGAACCAAATTTCCCATTTATCAGTCACGGATCACTTCTTGAATGCCAGGCCCCATGCTAGGCTTGTGCAAAAGCACAGCAGCAGTGCAGAAGCACTAAGGGCTACGGACCCGGACCGTAGGGAACCAGGAATCGAAAGCCAGAGGGAAGTGGTAGCCGCAGGGACCACGAAACAATGTGCACCAGGACTGGCCAGAGGCTGGGTTGGGGTTGGGCTGCAGATGGTCGGGGTTTTCTCGCCTCACGTCACCTCTCCCCTTTCCTTGCTGCAGGCTCCCGGGCAGAGAAGAAAGCAGAGCCCCCACCTAGCAAACCCACCGTGGCCAAGACAGGGTTGGCACTCATCAAGGACTGCTGTGGGACCACCCAGTGTAATATCATGTAACCCCCCCCCCACGCAGGGGTGGGGGTTTGCCCCTGGGGCCATGGGGACCCCCTCCTCCTCTCTTGTCATCATGGCCTCCATTTCACTGGGGCCCAAGAACTCTCCAAGGCAGAAAGGGTTGAGGGCAAGCGTGCCCGCGGCCAGAGGCTATGGGCACGGCGGGCGGGCCTGGCCGGCCTGTACAGAGTGTACCATAGGGAGCCCCTCACCGTGCATGGCCCCCCCCTCCACCCCCAGAGCATGCCCAACCCAGCAGTCTGTCTCAGCGTTTATCCGGTCACCAGAAAAGGTCCTTCCTCCAGTGTATCTCCACTCCTCCCTAGCTGTATCTAACCTAATGTGCGAATGGACTGGGAGGGAGGCCGGCTCCCCAGGTGTGTATAGTCGTGACTTTCAATAATCTAGCACCATGTTGCACACGTTCTCCACCCCCCCCCCAGCTCTGCTGTCAGGCTGGTTCTAAAAGGGGCGCAGGCTCTGCTCCCCTACTCCCCTCCTTTCCCAGGGACTGTGCCCCGAGGGCTCTTCAGTCTGTGCATCCCAGTGAACTGCATTCTGGGAGAGCCATGGCCTTGTCCATAAGCGCTGTGCTTGTGCGTGGAGTTGGGGTCACATCCCAGGTTTCCCCCCTGTGCTGTGTCTGGGTGCGGCTCAAGGCAGGGGGGTACCCCATGGCACTCTTGGACTCTTCCTTTGCTTGCCACGTCTGATCTCGTGGTATGGAGGTGGGCAGCCTGGACAAAAGCAGATCCAGTGCTTGGATGAGATAGAAGAGAGCTGAAGGCTCCAAGGCCAGGGCAGACAAGAAAGGGGACCTAGAACCTTCTTTACCCAACCAGTCCAACACACAGACCTCCAGAAGAATGACACGTGGGGAGAGGCAGCCTGACCCAACAGGTCCCATCGTTCGGTGGTATATTTGAACCAGCCTAACAATCCCACCTGTGTAAGTTGATGTACATTTGCTGCCACCAGCCTGGCGCAGCCGTGTGACCTGTGTGTGTCTGTGTATGCGTGTGCGTGTGTGTGTGTGTGCGTGTGTGTCATGACCAGCCTAAGTAGTTAAGCCTAAAGAGTTGCTGACGTGTCACCATTCCTCAGAGAAAAATAAAAATGGAAACCACATGCAGAGCATTTTAAAAGTTTTTACTTTTTTCTTGATTATGGAAGTAACTCATGTACATAGTAAAATCATTTTAAAAGTAAAGAAAGTATGAAGGCTTTTTTTTTTTAAACACTCGTTATTCCTCCAATTAGAGACCTGATAGTTTGGTCTATTTTTTTGTTTTTTGGTTGAGTCGGTTGTGGGTCTTGAACTCTGGGCCTGGGCGCTGTCCCTGGGCTCTTGAGCTCAAGGCAAGCGCTCCACCACTTGAGCCACAGTGCTACTTCCTGGTGTTTTTCCTTTGGATTGAGGTTCGCAGCTAGCCCGGGCAAGAAAATCCATGATACTCTCATTTTGAATAAACCACAAAAAAAAAAAAAGGAAAAGTAGAGCTATGGCCTTGAGAAAAAAAAAAAAAAAGCTGAAGGACACACACACACAAGCGAAGCTGGACATGGTGGCTCATACCTATAATCCCAGGTGCTTGGGAGACTGGGATTCAAAGGATCTTGGTTCAAGGCCAGCCCAAGACTCCACCTCAACCAATAAAAAGCTGGTGGTACACACCTGTCATCCCAACTACTGGGGAAGCATTAAGTAGGGGAAGCATAGTCCGGGTCAGCCTTGGCAGAAACCAGAACCCTATTGGGGGCATGGCTGGAGTGGTGGAGCCCTTGCCTGTCAAGCACTAGGGCTCCAGGGCTCCTGGTTTCCGCCCAGCAGGGTCTCGGGGGAGGGAGACGGCGCGCCTGAGCCGCACGTTTTCCAAATCCCGCTGTGGGAGCCTGGGAGCTGTCAGCGAAGGCTGTGGAGATGAGGGGCCTCCCAGTCTGGGGTCCAGGAGGCACTGAGGAAAGACACTTCATGAGACTAAGGGAAGGCGGAGGTGGAGGTGGCAGTGGGCAAACCACCCAGATCACCTCCTTAGCCCATTCTGCAGGGCATGGGGCAGCTCGGCTCTTTCTATACAACTTTGAGACTGTGAAAGGAGTTTTGAGAGGGTTGCCAAAAAGCTTTAGAAGCTTGTACTGTCAGACGTAAAAAAGAAAAGAATCACACTTCACTGTACATAGTGGTCCAGATCTGGAAGCAGGAGGCATCTAGAGACAGAAGGATCAGGAGTTCAAAGTCAGCCTGGGTGAAAGAACAAGACCTATAGTCTCTCCCTCCCCCAAAAAAAGAAAAACAAGAATCAAGAAGGAAGCATTGTACTTTACCGAGAGGCAATTTGCTGGTCTCTTCCGGACCCTTCCATATCCTTGCACGGGGTGGATGCGGGGGAAGGGAAGGAGGCTTTTACCACTGGCTGAATCTGTACAAGGCTATCCCAGAGCAGCCTGTTGGAAAGGCTGGGAGAGCCTGGGACTCCGCAGATCTTCCCTGGAACGGCAGGTGGGTGGGTGCCGAGTTTCCCATGCATGGGAAGAGGCTGGAGGAGGGCTGGGGAACAAGGGCCTGGGCCACGTGGCAAACACCTGCCTGGAGTGGGTGCCAAGGCCTCTGCCCCCCCCACTCACATTATACGAGGGGCAAAGTTGGGGGGTACCCAGACTGAGAGGCGACCGGGCTGGCTCATGACCCTCCCCGCGAAGACACGACAGCACTCCTCGGATGCTTGCTTGTGAAGTTTATTGACAAGTGTTTGGTCCCAACACACAAAACAGCACTTGAACCACAAAATTAAAAAAAAAAAAAGATGTCCAAACAAAAGAGACGGTTAAGAAAAACATCTCTTTTCCCCCACAAGCCTGATCCACAACAAACAGTGCGAGATAGGAGAGGGGGCTGGGGATGACTTCTGTCTAACCTGGTGCAGTTTTCCACCGAGATCCTGCGTCCCACTGTCCCAAAGCCACACACCATCGCCTAGCACTTAATTAAGCCTCTGGATAAAAAAATAAAGACAGCGAGCGGCCTGGCTACAAGGGAGCGTGGCCACCCACGCCGGCTGCTGCCGCCAGCTCCCACTTTAAACGGGAACTGATGGCTCTGTCCCACACTCCCCCAACATGCCAGCAGGCAAGCGGCACGGACTCACTCCCATGCCAGGCAGTGCCGGCTGCTGCGCCGCCCGGAACCTGCTCCTGGGGGGGCGGCCCCGGGGGCAGCAGGGACGCCCAGCGCACACGGGCCACACTCATTCCCACGCTAGCAAACCTCCCTCAAGTCCAGATGTGCGAACCCCACCTTAGGAAGGCTCAGAGTCAGGCAATGCCCGTTCTCCACACTGATTCTGTCACACGGCCTCAAAGCGCCTCTCACCCCCTTCACCCGCGGGCCTGCTTCCTCCTGCCTCCTGCGGCCGCCGGGTCTGCAGCGCCGCCCGCGGCCCGCCCTCGTCAGGATCGGCTGCGGGAGGGCCGCCATGCGGGCCGTGCTCCCACGGGCTTCTGTCTTGATCGGGGCTACGGGCTGAGAACTGAGAATCACCGGCTTCATTGGAAAGATTTGGGGAACAAAAACCCAGCTTGTAAAAAAAAAAAACAAAAAAAAAAATCTCCCTACAGCCCTTATTTTGTGGCATTTTATCAAAATGCTGGCTCCAAGATCAGAGTCCATTTCCTGGCTTTCTAGAAATTACAAAAATACACAAACATTTTCCCCAAAGCAACCATTCTTACTAGTGGAAGACCTAGCGCCAACAGGTGCTTTCTGCTTTATGATCGGACCCTGCCTTCTTTGCCCGACAAATACAACCCATTGTAAATGCCAGGTTCTCCGGCGGGGGTGAGTGGACGCCTCAGGCACCCAGAGAGGAAGGCCACTCCACACAGGGCAGTGCCCCCATGCCAACAGCAAGACACCGCCAAACTCAAACGTGCTTCCAACGGTGAGAAGTAACAGGGGGTAAAAACAGACACACTATTAAAAGGTGCGGAGCCAACAGACAGACGCGCACGTCTTCGCACGGAGAGCTTCCCAGCTGTCCAAACCAGCTTGGAAAATGACAACAACAAGGTTAAGTTCCTCAACCTTGGCCTTCAACTTGTATCGATAGCATTCCGGTCTCTTCCTAGTGGACACAGTATGGATCCTGCTCACCGCTCCGCTCTGATTTGTGATTTATGCATTCAATGCATAGTTTAGAAAATCAGACTCTCCATTATCATTGCCTCTCCACACACAGTTATGTGTGCTGTAATCCACGCACTGACTTTCAACCTATGACACCAAGACTATCTCCTTCTCCTTAACCTGATCCATAGCACACTGGAACTGAGTGCGGAAGGGAAGCTTAAAACACCCTCCACTTTCTAGAAAGCTCCTACACAGAACCCCAAGATGGAAATGCTTAAAAGAATCTGTGATGAAGCCACATACTTATTGACTACAGACATAGTTAACTAAAAACAAGGGACACACGGACACTCACACACACGTGGAAAGCTGTAAGGACGCCAGGAACCTTCCTCTCCCTGAAGACATCTGCTCCTCCCCCCTCCTTGTGCCCAGGACAGACTGCTCAAAGCCACGCGGTGCATTAGGTGAAGAGTGCCAGGATGCGACGCAGGCTCCCTGGTGCTGGGGGGCGTGGCGGGGGGCGGCTCACTGCAGGCCATCTCCTGCTAGCTATGGGCTCGCTGCCCTCTTCTGCCACCACACCACGGCATTCCATCGGAGTTATAAAAGATTTGGTAAAATAGGTGGAAGGATTCTTTAAGAAATGCCGGAATTCTTTCAAATAATTGAAAAGAAGAAAAAGGGAAATGGCAGCCGCAGCTGCGCTCGGAGCGCGCGAAGGAGAGGAAGCAGGCCGCGCTGAGGGCCTCCCCCACCCCCTGCAAACAGAAAAGGTCGCTTTTGAGCCCATGTGTGTGCAGAATCAGACCCTTTCCCCATCCTAACTCTACTTTCAGCTGGGAGTTACAGCTTGGTGATGGGGGTTAAGGAGAAG